TGGAGGGGATGGACCAAAGACAGTGACCAAGCCATTTGTCTCGTGCCATCCCTCTCCAGCCTTCCACAAACTTTGGGCAGGGACACCACTCCTACCCCCTGGCTAATACCACTCCATGGACCCAAGCTCCATGACTTGATCTCACTTCCCTTTAAACTCTGTTCTAGTTGTAGCCTTCACAGCCTCCTGCAGCAATGAGTTCCACAGGTTTACTCTTTGCTTTGTGAAGAACAACTTTCTGTTACTAGTTTGAAGCCTGCTACCCATTCCTTTCCTTTGGTGTCCTCTAGTCCTTCTTTTTGGGAACTAATGAAGAACTTTTCTGTATGCACCCTCTCCACCCAACTCCTGCTTTTAGAGACCTCTATCCTGTCCGCCCTCCGTCTCCTCTTTTCTAAGCTGAAAAGTCCCAGCCTTTTTAGCCTCTGTTCATCTGGGACCTGTTCCCAACCCCTGATCATTTTAGTTGCCCTCCCTTCTCCCAGCCTCTCTCTTCCCCTCTCCCACCTCCTTTTCCCTGTCTCCCCCAGTTTTGTTCAATAAAGACAGATTCCATTTTGGAAGACACGTTATCTTTATTTTGTACATCAAGAAGAGGGGCTAGGGAAGGGTAAGTGGAAGGAGGTGAGGGAGGAATGGGGTACTAGTCCCCGATGGGGAGGACTGGGCTAGCTGTACGGGCTTCTGGGGGTGGAAACTCTCCTGCAGCCCCCCAATTGCCCCCTCTCCCCAGATGGCAGCCTGCGGCAAGTGCAGCCGGGCTGATGGCCGAGTGGTGTGATGTGCCCAGTGTGGGTAGCCCGGGCACTCCAAGCCAGGACTGCTTTGCAAGCGGGGCACCCCTGAGAACTGTCTGTCCAGGGTGGGGGTCGAGACCCTTTAAGCACAGCCCTCGGCTAGCCTGAGAAAGCATCTCCACACTCTAAGTTCTTCTCTGATGCCCTGCCGGCACTGCTTCCGGCCATTCTTAAGCCCGGTTCAGGGTCCACTTAATGTGGACATGCTAGTTTGAATTAGCAAAATGCTAATTCGAACTAGTTTTTTAGTCTGGATCCGTTAGTTCGAATTAGCTTAGTTCGAATTAACTAATTCGAACTAAGTTAGTTCGAATTAACGTTGTAGTGTAGACATACCCCAAATGAGATAGGCAATGAATCTTCCAAGCTGAGACATATTCAGGAACAAGAAGTTCAATCTAAGTGAAAGGAAGGGTTTTTGCCAGGGTCCTAGCTCTCATTATCTGATCCTACCAGCTGATTTCAGCATATCATGCTATAGATTTACTGTTTCAGTGCTTTAGAGTCCAATTATCTTTCTCACCCATATTTCCTGTCTTCTTTTTGTTAATATTCAATACGTTATTTTTAAACTTTTATTTTTATATCACAACTGAAGGGCAAAGCAGAGAAATATTGAAAACTGAGTGGGAACGCAAAGCTTCACTTGACATAGAAAAATGGCTAAAAGATAAATTCAGAGAAGGATTTAGAAACATGAAAGAAGAATTTGAAAAATATGATCCCCGAAAAAGAGGCAAGGTAAGATGCTTTTTGGTCTGTGAATCTGTTCTAAGTGGGGAAGCACCCACATAAAATGATCTGCAGGTATTGGTTGGGCTGTGATAAGATGTGAGGCAAGGATTGTTGAATCTGTACCCCAATATACTAACCAGCCAGCTGGGCTTACTCAGTTGGGTTACTTAGATAAGCCAGAAGAACATTATTTGGTCCTTTGTGTTTACTAGTGTAGTGCTAATTACCACATTTGTTGCTGAATTGCTGGCAAATGTGTCCATTAATATTGTTTATATCTGTAGTTTTGGTGAATGTGATGCTTCTAATATGAAAATGTTCCCCTTGATGTTAATAGTCACTAACAAGTACAGTAGCAAGTGTTAATTCCAAACATTTCCCAGCCACAGGAGGTTCCTCAGGTTTATGGTCGGCCAACACCATTTTCAGTTTACGGTGCTCCCCTTTGGGTTGTCCACGGCACCAAGGGTATTCACCAAATATATGGCTGTGGTTGCGGCGTTCCTCCACAAACAAGGGGTACATGTATTCCCGTACCTTGACGATTGGCTAATCCGAAGTCGCTCATACGAACAGGTAAAAGCTCACGTGACACTCATGAAGGCCCTCTTCCTAAGACTCGGGCTTATGCTAAACGACAAAAAGTCGTCCCTGACCCCCTCCCAGCATCTGGAGTTCGTGGGGGCCCTTCTCGATGCGAGGGTGGCCAGAGCTTTCCTCCTGAGCAGATTTCTCTCCATAGTGGAGCTGATCTCGGGGTTAACCCGGTCCCCTATCACGACCCCTTGGGTCTGCTCCAGGCTCCTGGGTCATATGGCGGCTTGCACGTACACGGTGCGCCACGCCAGAATGAGAATGAGACCCCTACAGGCTTGGTTGGCGAAGACCTTCAACCAGTCCCGGGGTCTTTGGGACTCAATTGTAACTGTGCCCCCGGAAATCCTGACCTCCCTCCGGTGGTGGACCCAGGAAACCGTGGTGCGCAGCGGGGTCCCTTTCGCTGCCCCTTTCCCCTCCCTCACGCTGGTCACCGATGCATCAGACCTGGGCTGGGGAACACACCTGGGGAGACACAGGACTCAAGGCCTCTGGTCCCCCTCGGAACATACCGTCCGGGAATTGCGGGCGGTGAGGAGGGCCTGCAAAGCCTTCCTACCAAGGCTCTCTCACCGCTCGATCCTGGTTCGTTTAGACAATATGGCAGTGGTCTTTTAAATCAACAAGCAAGGGGGAGCCCGGTCACCTCCCCTCTGCAAAGAGGCCCTGCTGCTCTGGCACCTGTGTGTGGAACACGACAGCACGCCACAGGCAGAGTACCTTCCGGGGCTCAAGAATCTGATAGCAGACACCCTGAGCAGATCCTTTGGAGCCCACAAGTGGTCGCTCAAGGATGCCGCTCTCCGTCGGGTTTTCCACAGGTGGGGTTATCCCCTCCTAGACCTGTTTGCATCAGAACACAATGCAAAGTGCCGGAACTATTGTTCCCTACTGGGTGTGGGGAAATGTTCCCTGGGGGATGCCCTGACGACCGTGTGGCCAGAGGGTCATTCTCTATGCCTTTCCCCCGTTTCCACTAATTTCCAGGGTTTTGACCAGGGCGAGGACCTTTCGGTCCTCAATCATTCTCGTAGCCCCCAGGTGGCCCAGACAGTTCTGGTTCCCGATCCTGGTGGACATGCTTGTCAAGGACCCAATAACACTCCCTCTAGTCCGGGATCTGCTAACTCAACCCTGGGGAGAGGGGATCATGGTTCACCCGGATCTCCGGTCTCTCCACCTAACGGCATGGTTTATCCGTGGTTGAACCAACCTGAAAGGGAATGTTCCCAAGAGGTTCAGATGGTTCTCCTCAGTAGCAGGAAACCCTCTACTAGCCTATGGTGGACCCAGGAAACTGTGGTACGCAGTAGATGTCCCGGAGAGGAGTACACCCATCCTCGGCTCCTATTCCAACTATTCTTGACTACCTTTTCCAGCTTCGGTCTAGTGGCCTATCTTTCTCTTCTATCAAAGTCCATGTGGCATCTCTCTCCGCCTTCCATCTTGGTATGGCAGGAGTCTCCCTTTTTTCTAACCTGGTGGTTAAACGTTTTCTTACTGGCCTGGAAAAGCTGTACCCCTCAGTGAGGGCCCCGCTTCCCACCTGGGACCTTAACGTGGTCCTCCACAGGCTTATGCTACCTTCCTTTGAACCGCTGGCCACGTGTTCCCTGCTGCACCTTTCATTGAAGGTTGCTTTCATCGTGGCCATTACATCGGCTCGAAGGCTCAAGCCAAGGTCCACATGTCTCAACTGAATGTAGAGAGATCCATAGCTGACATCTGTCTGACTCAGTTTTAGATGAATACTGAAAGGCAAGTATTAGAATTATATGAAAGTCTGTAGTGTTTGGGTTCTATCAAATGCTGGTGAGTTGCTGCATGAATTAATCTCATTTCCAATACAGTACACTCTCACCGTAAACACTCTTCCTAATAGCAAACCTCCTGTTATAATGAACTGTGTCCCTGGGTACTACCTCTCTCCTCTGCAGTCACACCCTTCCTCCTCCTGCAGCAGGGCTTTTTTGCTATAACAAACTCCTAACTATAATTAACGCATGACTTGGATACCTGGGGTCATTGTAGTGAGGGTATACTGTATCTGTATTCCACATTCTACTCTAATATTTGAGTGGTGATAGTGTGATCCTCGGTGACTGCATTGGCATGGCTACACAGCAGGGCTAAAGCCAAAATAAGCAACACAACTTAAGCTATGCAATGACTTAGCCGAAGTCGAAATAGCTTATTTCGGCATTTGGCACTATCTACACAGCAGGAAGTCTGAGGTAAAGCACTCTTCCTCCAACTTCCCTTAATCCTCGTAAAATGAGGGTTACAGGAGTTGGAGTAAGAAGTCCTCCAGCTCAACATAATTTTGACATTACATCGAAATAATGGGTGCTGTGTAGATGCGGACTATGTTATTCTGGAATAACACTGCTGTGTAGATGTACCCTATGAATCACCATATGGCAGACAGGACATGAGTGTTAAGAAAAGAACGGTTACTTACCTGTAACTGTTGTTCTTCGAGATATGTTGCTCGTGTCCATTCGAAGTAGGTGTGCGCACCGCATGCACCGTGTCTTCCGGAGCACTTTCCCTAGCGGTACCCGTAGCGCCGGCAGGGCACCCCCTGGAGTGGTGCCGCCATGGCGGGGCATAAGTACCCCTGCCGGCGCTGCCCCACCTCAGTTCCTTCTTGCCGGACACTCCGACGAAGGGGAGGTAGGGTGGGAGTCGAATGGACATGAGCAACACATCTCGAAGAACTACAGTTACAGGTAAGTAACCGTTCTTTTCTTAACACTCATGTCCTGTCTGCCATATGGTGATTCATAGGGTACATCTACACAGCAGTGTTATTCCAGAATAACATAGTCCGCATCTACACAGCACCCATTATTTCGATGTAATGTCAAAATTATGTTGAGCTGGAGGACTTCTTACTCCAACTCCTGTAACCCTCATTTTACGAGGATTAAGGGAAGTTGGAGGAAGAGTGCTTTACCTCAGACTTCCTGCTGTGTAGATAGTGCCAAATGCCGAAATAAGCTATTTCGACTTCGGCTAAGTCATTGCATAGCTTAAGTTGTGTTGCTTATTTTGGCTTTAGCCCTGCTGTGTAGCCATGCCAATGCAGTCACCGAGGATCACACTATCACCACTCAAATATTAGAGTAGAATGTGGAATACAGATACAGTATACCCTCACTACAATGACCCCAGGTATCCAAGTCATGCGTTAATTATAGTTAGGAGTTTGTTATAGCAAAAAAGCCCTGCTGCAGGAGGAGGAAGGGTGTGACTGCAGAGGAGAGAGGTAGTACCCAGGGACACAGTTCATTATAACAGGAGGTTTGCTATTAGGAAGAGTGTTTACGGTGAGAGTGTACTGTATTGGAAATGAGATTAATTCATGCAGCAACTCACCAGCATTTGATAGAACCCAAACACTACAGACTTTCATATAATTCTAATACTTGCCTTTCAGTATTCATCTAAAACTGAGTCAGACAGATGTCAGCTATGGATCTCTCTACATTCAGTTGAGACATGTGGACCTTGGCTTGAGTTGGAGCCAGGTCTGTCAGCATCACAGTTGCAATAAAGAGTTAACATACTACTTCATACTAAGGATGTTAAAAGACTAGTCAACTAGTCAGTTATCCAGTAATCAAATGCTTATCAGATAGTCGAGACGACTAGTCACTCCCCCCCCCCTTATTACCTCTATCAGATAGAGGCAGCAAAGTGGAGGGAAACGGGGGTACTTCAAAGCAGCAGCACCACATGGAGCCCAGGGTATGGGCTCGGTACAGTTCTGCCGCTTTGAAACACTGGCGGCGTTTTAAAGGAGCAGTGCCACACAGCTGATCCCGGGCCACAGCGTTTCAAAGGGGCAGGCTCCGTGTGGCATTTCTGCAGAACTCAGAGTCAGCTGGGGACTTCCAGGGGATAGGGCATTTGCCTGGGGAGCACTGGCCCTGGGCTCCACGCGGTGTTCCAACTTTGAAATGCACAAGAGCCTCTATTGGGCCTCTTATACATTTCGAAGGAGGAATGCAGAAGTGCTTATCAACTACTCGAATAATCGATGGAAATTCCATAGACTACTTGACTAGTAAATTAATCGATATTTAACATCCCTGCTTCATTCATACCTTTTACCGACTCAGAATCAGGTTATTAGTCGAAAAACTTGCCTACAGATTCTGGCTTGCTGGCCAGGGAACCTCCTCCTCCAAGTACGGTAAAAAGGGTGGTCAAATTTCAAAATACCTATTATCTTTTAGGTGTTTGCCTTGTCATGAAATCTTTACAGTTATAAGGACAGTCCATATTTCATTGTACCACAGTTCAGTAGGAATTGTCATCACATTTTGCCATTAAAGTCCAATACAAAATTTAGCTGCTAATAAAAAAAAATAAATTAACCTACAATTTTGTTTAAAATGTTGATTTGTTCCTGGGAGCATTAAATAAGGGTCAGGAGATATCTAGGAAGCTGGAATGTTGTTATAAGGCAAATGTCTTTAATAATTTCCTCCAAAAACTGTTTCATTCCTGTACACAACTACAATGTGTGCAAATATGTTCCCCTTTCACTGCAACCCATCCAGCAGAGCACTTTCCTAGTAGCAAAAATATGATGGATCTTAACTGAAATCAAATGACATCTAAACAGTAACTTATAAAAATGTTTTTATGAGCTACAGAAATTGAAAGCTGTATACAGGCCGACCAATGCTGGGGGCGGCAGGCGGCAAAGTGGGCAGCTACCCCAGGGCTGGGTAATTCAAAAGCACCTGGGGCTTCTGGCTGCTGCTGCTATTACTGCTAAAGGCTGCCTGGGGTAGCGCAGCATGGCATTGTCTGGGCAGTACTGATGGTTGCTGCCATCAGACCCATACCTTTCACCTGAGGCCCCACCCCTTCCAGGAGCATGGAGCTGGCCCTAGCCCTACGTTGCCCAGGGTCCTGGCCTTCTGTCAGCACCCCTGGCTGTGTATTCCCTTTTCCATAGAGACACGCTCATTCAGATCATGATATTTGCCCAAATCCTTCTCCTATATTTCCGAGTTAGTCTCTTATCAACATCCTTTTCAATCAAAATTGTCTGTATGACAGAAATTTGAACCTCTTGTTCCATCTTGCTCCTGGGTCAAAGCCTCACATATGGTTATGGGTCTAGATAGAGCTGTCCTGTATCTAGATTTCACAAGTAAATTGTATATTGAAAATATTGGATTTTTATATTATTTACATTAATAAAACTCTCTGGATATGATGTCTGCATTGAGTAATTTCAGCTCTGAGCCACAGCAAACAGTCACTTTGATATATGCTAGGGACAAATTTAGGATTATTAATGAAAGTAGTTAAGGGAGAAAGCGTCAATGGGAATTTTGAAAATGTGCCCAGAGCCGCTAACATGTTCAGGATGAGTGGGTTGAAGTACATGACAGTGACCTACTTTTTTTTCATCCAAGTGTTGGTCACCTGAGAGCAGGGCAGTAGAGTTCAAACAGATGACCAGAGAGGCAAGAGCAGGCATTGTGGGAAGAATGCCAGAGGCCAGTCATGACGCTGTACTACGCCATGGTGTCCACGTTGGCACCCCAGTGCCTTTTCCAGAGCGCAGCAAGTTCTGTGCTTCTTGCAGAGGTAACCCTGGAGCTAGTGTGCACTAAGTGCCTTGCCAGTGTGGGCACCTTGAAAGTTACAGCACCGCAGGGCTGATTTACTGTTCAGTAACTTGCCAGTGTAGACTTGGCCTACTTTATGGCAGTCTATGCCCAGCAGCCTATGGGTGACAACACAGTCCGGAATTCTATGCCCCCTTGCCACCATTTCTGACATGCTGCTGGGGCTTGCAGACAAGCCTGCTGTAGTGGGAATTCTTCCTTGGATGGATCTGCTGCAGGATGAAAGAGCCACGGTGGAGGGAAGACTCCTATCAAAGGACTGCTTCTGGCTGAAACCCTGGCTCCACAGAAGCCAATAGGAGCATTGGTAGTTAGTTCAATGGAGCTGTGATTTTTGCCTATTATGAGAAAGGTGGCTGAATATAGCCCTTGGAAATTGAATGAATGCGCTGATCATGGAGCAGAATAAGTATTAAGAAAACTCATCAGTGACCAGTCTGCATATTTAAGTTGTATTTAAATAAAGCAAAGTCTGATTCACTTCTTTCTGTGTTTTATTTTTGTTTTTTTGAAGGTTGGAAAAGAAGCTTTCTTGTCAGTCCTACAAAAATTTGACATGCATCTCAAAAAGGAGCATTTTAATCTTTTCCTGGCAAGATGTGGCCTTGAAAACAGCCAAACAGGGATAAATTATTTGGATCTTCTATGGAACTTCCAGGATCGTAGTGACAGAGGGATCACACACAAAATTCGCTTTAATCCCAAGCATAAGTTCGTATGAAGACATTGCTTGTTTATCATTGCTTTTTCTGATTATATATGGCTTTAGCAGAGCTGCACTCCCTTTCACAAGACAGAATTAAGCCCAGTGACTCAAACCAGAAAGAGAAGTGACAATACGATGGGGTGACCATATTTACAAAAGTAAAATCAGGACACCATTTGGGGCTGGCCAGAGCTTGCTGGCATCATCATGAGTTAATGGCTGCTTGCCTGAGCCCCATACCACCTGGAACGAGGGCTGGTTGTCTGAGCTCCCTGGCTGCCCGAATCCTGCTGCTCAGCATCTTGTGTTGCCACTGGCCTCCCCAAATGTTTTTCTTACCCTTTTTTAGGGGAGACCACTTTTTTTTTTCAAAAGTGGGTATTTGCTCTTGCTTGCTGATCAGAGCAACTTGCAAGTGGCAAGAGCAAGTGGGACAAATGTCCATGTTTTCCAAAAAAAAGGTCAGGATATCTGGGACAGGGCTTAAGAAGAAATGGGAGGTATGGTCACCCTTCAATACAATGTAATGGTCCTTTTCTAGTTGAAAGCAGCCGCCCTCTGTGACTTCCATAGGCCTCCTGTGCTCTGTATCTGTGGAGTCTGTGCCTAATATGGAACACTTTGCAAAGTGGAGGCTTTCTTGCACCTGACTAACATGACAACCAGGGACGAGTTAATAGTCTGAAATATTGCATTTCTGACCAATAGCATTATTTCTGTCATCCAGTGGCTCATCAAGCCTCTATTGTATTTTTCCCCCGTACAACACTCCTGGAAAAAGGGCAAATTCAATTAGGGAAAGGCTCACTTCTCCTTCTACATCCCCAAAAGAGAATCTCTCCTTTCTGGTGAATGGGAAAGGTCTCCTCAATGCAAAGGCTTTAGTTCATTTTGTGGTTTTAAGAAAACCATCCCTTAAATGTACATCCCTCATTGTGGGCATCTCTAAGGACTAGAGCTTATTCTTAACCCTGGCCAGTAGAAATTTTCATGTACTGCATGGGTCCCATTTGAGATAAGGATGGTTGAATACAGAACATTAGGGTATGTCTACATTTCATTCCTCTCTCGAGAGGAATGCAAATGCAGACACCCACAATTTCAAATTAAGTGGGGATTTAAATATCCTATGCTTCATTTGCATAATCATGTTATGGCGCTATGTTGAGGAAAAAAACGGGGTTATTTCGAGATAAAACCCTTCCCTCGAAATAACCCTTTCTCCTGAGGTTTTCTTTTTGCGCAAAAACCCCTTTTCCCACCAGATCGGTAAACCTCCTTTTTGGGGGCATAAGGATCTGGTGTGAAAAGGGGTTTTTGCACAAAAAGAAAACGTCCACACTACTTTTTTCTGCAAAAACAGCTTGCATAAATGATGCAAATGAGGTGGTGTGATCTGCTAATTCACACCTCATTTGCATACTCACTGCCAGCAAAACCGGCAGTGTAGACATAGCCTCAGAACTTGCATGACTTAGAAAGCTGGAGATATCTACTTCTAGATGGGACTTGTAATGACTGAATCTGCCTGCATCACAAGATAAGTAACCTGAAATAACCCTGTTAACAACCAGTAAAATTATCCACATGGAAAGTCTTTGGAGAGACTCTTGTCAGTCTGACCCTTGTCAGTCTGAGCCATGCTTCCTCAGTGCTGTTCTCCTGCCCTCTGCTGTGGGAGTTTCAGTACCAGAAAACCTTAAATCACTGTTACAGAATTCGGTTGAACAATAATAAAATGTGAATAGAAACATAACAGTCCATGAATAAATGAATTATTTCACCATCTTATTTAATGAAATACTTAATCAATTGACATTATGTTTATTTTTCAGAAATCGATAATGCCATTTTCCTTTTCAAATCTTCATTTTTTAAATGTTTTAATTCCATTTTGTATTTACAACAACATAATGTGGCCAGCTCGCTATTGTTCCTCTTGTTTGTTATTTGCTAAGCACTAATAATATGGTTGGTGCTGTAATAGACAGGCTGTGGCCCACAAATGTTGCAAGCTAAAGTATAAATAAGTAAGACAATGTGTATTGGGAGACCCATAGGTGGGAACTACATAGTTAGTTAATTCAGATTTTCTGTATTTTTATTGCCATTATGTGAAACTATTGCTCTTCTCGGTGGTTACAACATTTGGGCCCTTTGTCCTTGCATCAGATTCATCTGAAATTTGTATAAATTCTTAGAGATGTGCTGTCCTGTTCTGTTGCTCAGAGAAATTCTAGAAAATTACTTGTAGTCACAGCTGCTCATGGTTTCATGTTTGTTGTCTCTCAGCACCTTCCAGAGCTGGGAGCCGGCTGGCCAGAAAACATTTCAGTTCCATTGAATCTGCATTTATGGATGGAATGTTGGCCTGTCAGAAACCTGTTAACCAGCTCTACTTGCAGTACAAGAACCTCAATAGAACAGAGAATGTATGTGTGTTACCTGTATTAATCCTTGCTTTTAAATTGCATCTTTTGTAGATTTCATCGAGAGGGCGGCATCAGCCCAGCTTCCACTCTGACTGCAGTTGAAGCCAAGTTGGCAAATTTGTTTCAATCTGATTTTCTTTCACTCCTGGCCACATTCCAGTAAGTGTCTGATCAATTTTGTTTCGTTATGGTTATGATAGATTGTGAGCTAGAACTATTGAAAGTGCTAAAAAAGAGAGAATTTCTACCACCAAAAAAGAGAGAATCCATAAGCACTGGAACACAAATTTTAGAATGAAAGAGAAGGCGTTTTTACAGGAGCCAATGTTTAGGTCCTGATCCTGCAATGGTGTGCAATGTTTAATTTTCTGTCACCTTTAACCTGCAGGAGGAGGGTAAAGATGATACAGCAGGGCTGAGGATTCAATGCTTCAGTTTTGCCTGTTCTAAAGGGGAATAAGAGCACACCTCATTTTGCTCTACGGAGCGATTGGTTCACCATGGGCCCCCCAAATGCCTAAAACTGTGTTTTAATGAAATAAACAGAATGGTCATTTATTCGCAATCACCCACGCTTTTCTGAAAAGGAGGTCAGTGATGATGCCACCTTCTCAATAATATGGAGGCAAACAAAGGGTCATTGGCTTTTAATGAGATTAAGATTTGCATCTGAAAGCCCTGCTAAGGCTCCAACCCTGCAAGGGATCTATCAGTGCAGAACTCCACTGCAAAGTCCATCTGATATCAACCTATGCAACATCAATAGACCCTGTAGGAAGGGAATCCCTGAATTTTATTAAACTGGGGTAGCTGACTGTACATCACCCACTCCTGGTACCCCTGCTGTAGGATGTGTGACTGGAATACTCTGTGTTCTGAAGTGCCTTGTCCATTACTCCCTCAGGCTGCTAGAATTTATCCTGGTGGCTCCTAGGATCAAGGTGCTGATAAGCCCCATCTCTCCTTGTGCTGTGTGAGGCTCTGGTGTCCCTCAGGGTTTTTTCACAGTTATGAGTAGATCCCATGTCCTGTGTTTATTGCTGATGGAGCTTAGCTAAAAATTGGGATGTTCTCAGTGCCCTGAGGGAGAAGATGAATTTGTTTTCTCTCACACATGGTCAGTTAAAATCACGGTGTAACCTGTAACTCGTGATCAGTCAGTATATTCTGTTAAGATGCAAGTCACTGAAGGTTTGCAACTGATATGCTATACATTGGGGTAGGCAATAGGTGTACTGTATGCTAAATCCGGACTGCTAGATGTTTTTGAACCCCCAAATCTTTTTTTAATTTAGTATTATTAGCATTTTAGTTTTTTAATTTTCTGTCAACTCTGGATCTTGACTATATCTTGACCAAGAAATTTGGACAAAAAAATAATTGATGGTGGTTATTGCCCTAAATCCTGTCTCCAATGAAGTCAAACTAGTCTGACTATGCATTGGAGAATACCTTGAGAGATGGGGGTAAAAGAAGTAGGAACTTTCCCATACAGCTACTGCTGCAGTTTCACATGTGGAGTAGTCTTCCTGGTGCCTGCACCCCGATCAGTGGATTCAGGAATCAGAAAATTCACGGATTCTTTTCACTCATTAGCCAAACCACTTTCCTGCTTCCCTCCATGTAGCCATTGTGCATAAAGGAATCCCTGGAAAGATGGACTCTTCAAGCCATGCCCCATTTCTACATAGTGCAGCCATTACCTCTTCTGTGACAGTGCCTTGTACGCTTGTGGAAGAAGGGACAGGGTTTGTCCTTTATTGCACAAGGTAAATGACTTAGGAGAAACCTTGGAATGGTATTGAGCCTTCTATTTGAGCCATGAAATGTGGTCCAAAATGATCTAGCTGTGTGCTTTCACTAATCCAGGGCTCACTTGTTTTCACTATATAGGCTAATATGTTTTCAGAATATCATTCGTCTGATTCCCTTTTCTGTATTTCTCAGAAAAATTGACAGATTGA